CAAATTTAAATTTGGCTTCACTTTTCCAGAGATTTTCCTTACCTGAGAAATTTGTGTATGCATGGCGATGCTCATTCGTAGCACGGTTGCCCGTCTTTGGAGGGCTCCATTGAGCGCTTCAGCCATTCGCTCCAATTCGTCACATTTTGGCAGCAAACTTCCGGATATCTGCAATGGATGAGAATGGGCATGGAATAAAAAGCTCACAAAGAATCCAGAACAAAGGCTTCTGGACTAGCATGACATACTCCTACGTCGTTCGCTGAGATCAGCTCTTCTCCAGTTTCCTTGAGAGCTTTTGCAGCTTTCACATCCTCCTGAAATCGTCCATTTTATCAAAGAAACAAGTTTTTTACAACTGATATATGCTGCTGCAGCAAAGAAGTAGTACGAAAGAGGAAGCAGCACCGATTTTCTTGTCATTTGCGCGCCCTTTTAGAGATAGCGCCGGCAATCAGTGCGAAATGCAAAACCCGTGGATTAGGGGATGCGGAAAGTAGAAAGGGAGAATGAGGAACCACATAACTTTGGTGAAATTATGGAATGTGCGAATAATTAGCAGATTATAGTGGTCATGGAAGCTATCGCGGTGAGAAGGCGCGAAAGAGGGAAAATGGATTTTGCTGGTTACCTCCCTCCTCCTCCCTGGACTACAGTACCCCCACTTTCCCTGACCATTGCAGATGAAGACAAGGAAAACTACTCCTACAATGCAACTATAACGCGTAACGATTATGCGTTTGCCCGCGAAGGCTTGCAGAAAGTGGAGAAGGTGTTAGCAGTCTCGACAAAGTGCGTCAACTCTACATAGAGGGGTACCCCCCAGGAGGCCCGTCGCGCGACAAGAAGGCGAGTCAGCGGACGAGTTCCGCGCGTACTGTAGGGATTTCGCGTCAAGTTAAATAGAATGTTCCATTGTACGTCTTACATCGCTCACGCGCTGCGACTCGTCCGCGACTCTGCCTTCTTGCCGCGCGACGGGCCTCCTGGGGGGTACCTACATAGAGCCCTCCTCGAAAAGTGGAACATCATTCATTGTCCGAACCGAAGCACAAAAGTCTATGACGTAGGCTCTAGCAAACCATCAGAGATCAATTACCAACCAGAGCTGTTTCAGTGTACTGCTCGTGCTTCTCGGCCAGTTGCTGAGCTGCTTGCACTCCTTCCCCAACAGCTCTGTGCTCCTCCAGGTACAGCATGTGGCGAGCGAACGCAGATTGGAACGGGAATAAGAACTTGGTTTGAAGCAGGGTCCTCAGTCACATTATGAAACATGCAACTTCGATCATATATTGTCTTCAAAAATAAAAAAAAACGCTAAAAATTACATATATGCAATAAGTACGGTAGATACTGGAGCTATGTAAAGGAAAGAGATTTTTTGGAAATTTGAGGTTTAAATTACATAAATCTCACTCAAATTCAGTGAATCTATACTAATTATTGTAAGCCTGCGGCCACTGAAGAAAATCTTCCAGCCCCGAAGAGGAAGTTAAGGCGCTGGTATCGTGAGCCAATCACAACTTAAAGGCACACTCCACGATCAGGGAATGGAATTTTATGCAAGAAAAGTAGAACGCTCCGCGAGTCCACATTTATTACCAACTTGGTGGTACAATTTTGCATGGCAGGGGACGCTTAGGTGCTCGAATGCGATGTGCTGCCACCTAAGCTGCCACTCAAAGCTTCAGCCAGAAATTTGCGCAACTGCAAATTCAATAAACTCAGAAAATTCGGTTACAGTTGAAAGACTGGGCTGTGTGCTACAGAACTTATAGAGTTATGCCAAGTCGTGAGGCTCATTGAATAATATCACAAGGGCAGGTGGCGTTTGTCTTGGATTGCGTTTGACAAGCAAGCATGAAAGCCGCTGTCACACATAAATCATCACGTACATGCATCTCAATGTTTACGACAGGTAGTAGCTGAGTGATAAAATTTTACAATTTTATAGCGTCGATGAAGAAGTCGAAATTTTATGCAAGGAAATTCCGTACATAACAAATCCTCCGAAGCCCTGCCTAATTTTTGGCGCAAAATACTTCACCTTAAGGTGGAACATGCTATGATGGCTAATGGTAAGTCTTCTGTCCACATCACAGCAACCTCGTGACATAGCTTTAATTGTAAATTGACATATAAACTGCAGCGAAAACCAGCATAGCAAAACCAATCAAGTGCTGAACAATAATTTTTCAGTCATGACAGATAAATGGGATGCCTTTCATTCACTGTGAATCAAAATTTGGATAGCTTGGCGAGAACAAAGCGGTGAATGAATAGAAGCAAAACACACTCCATCGCGTTGTAGAGAAGGGCACAAAAATTATTTTTGACGGGTCGTATAGGCATGCGGATGCGGGATGCGGGACTCAACAGTGTACATACATGAATAGTTAGTAGGATTCGAAATTTCACCCATTCAAGCGATGGCTACACATACTGGGATTCGCCATGCGGCCGCTTTTCACCATGGAGCCGTCTCGGACGATGTTGATGCTTTCACAAAGTATTCATGCAGTGCGCCGAAACCTAATTTTCTACGTACTAATCATCCTGGCTATACAAGGTTCAGGAAGATTAGACAAGATAGATATAAAAAAGCAACAAAACAAAGTAAAAAGTTGCAAAGGTCAAGCTAAGCCCTTTGAGGGGGGTCGCCCTCGCGCCACGGCGGCGTTGATCAAGGCTACGACGAAGGCGAAGAAGCCAAACGCTTGCCTAATAAAGTTGACTAATCTTGGACGGCTACATTCAAGCACTCGTCTAAAGTCCCAGGGTTCGAAGTTGTTGTGAAGAAAACTGCTCTGAAGCTATAAGCTATCCTAGAAAGTCACAAGTGGGCCAACAATAAGAAAGACATCTTTCTTTTATTCTAGGTAAAGCTCAAACGAGCGTTTTTTTATTTTCTCACGGGCCCAAAAAGGGTATCTGCGTAAAAAGGAGAGCGGGACATTTAGATGTTTGCACTTGAGCGAAAACATACGATGAAAACACGTACATTGTGAATGGGAAGCCGTGTTTCTCATCGAGTGAAAAAATGTCAGCGAGAAAAATGATTAGCTCCGATCAGCAACAACACCGACAAGGGTCACACTTAAAAAATATGCTGAGAGAAGGGAAAAACCAGTGGTCGTCGCCCTACAATAGGTGCCACCAGGAACGGTCAGAAACGTGAGGAAGATGCCTGGACGGTTGGCCCGTGCGACAAGCTTTCCGCCTGTCCAAGCCTTGGAAAGGCGGAAAAACAGGCTTCAGAAAAATTGACCCTTTCACTTTAACAGAGATGGCGCAGAACTGTATGTGTCTTTCACAACAGATTGATCCGCAGCATTCAATCTTGCACAGCTCAACTCAGCCTATTGTCTGAACAATGTTCTGGTTCGCGCAGAAAGATAATGTACAGTTTTTGTTACTAGTCCATTATTCAAGTGGGTGACGGAGCACAGCGTTCGCTGGGTGACTGAAAAAAAAACAGCAAGGGGATTTACCTCGGTCACCCAGATTTTACGTGATCCAAAACAGAAATGCCCCGCAATTACGGCCTGAGAAAGAATGTGTGGTGTGTTTTCAAGGAAATAATTCCAACTGAGCATTCTATGCTAGATCCATGTGACTCACAGCGAAAGTCGATGTTTGAGGGTGAAGAAAAAACTCATAATAAAACGTGCATGTTGGGTGACAATGCAGCAGCGTGGGCAGCACGATGCTACACTAGTGGTAAAACACTAGCCACTGAAGCGTGAGAGCGCGCTCTCGTTGGTAGCCCATTTTCGGCTCGCAGCTCAACACGTATCAGCACTTTACGGTTGCGATGCGCATCATATTCTTTACGCTGAAGTGCGATCTATAGAGTGGAAAGCTCTGAGCATCAGGCTGGTATTATATATCAAGTTGATCACGCCTCGGGGTGAGTGCAATTCTCCCGACAAGTCAGTTAACCATAGCAGCGCGCACAGGGGTACCCGACAGGAGGCCCGTCGCGCGGCAAGAAGGCAGAGTCAGCGGACGAGTCGCAGCGCGTGATGTGCGATGTAGGACGTACAATGGTACATTCTATTTAACTTGACGCGAAATCACTACAGTACGCGCTGCGACTCGTCCGCCAATTCTATCTCCCGATGAGCCTCCTGTCGGGTACCTCGCGTGCAGCCGCCTCGAACATGTTGCCGTACACTGCAGTGTGGGCATGGCGCAAGGTTCCAGTGAATCATTTCAATAAATGACGCCACAGCTTAGAACTTATGAGGCTGTGTGCTATACTTCTCGGCAAAAGATAGGAAAGTCCTTGAGAGATGTTATTTTTCTTCACAAATCATTTTCGCTATATCCAGACCATTATTTTTGCATAAACACACGTTTCACAAGTTCACCACGGTGGGTGGTTGTTGAGGAAAAGGTTGGAGCGAGGAAGATAGTGTACGACCCCTGGTCGACACTCTGTGATTAAGGTATAGTAGTGGTCGATCTTGATGATACAAATGGAATACGACCACAACAATACGACCAAGCTACAGCTATGTAAAACGCATAAAATGTTGATCTATGTTTCGCGCGTGACCTCGCTGACTCACGGGACTATGTTTTGTAGCACAAGAGCTATCTTCCCTCTGTACGATACAGAAGGCTGAGAAATTCACTTCTCGGTTATTCACATTTCAACGTACTTCAAGTAGGTAAGTACAAAATATAAAGACTGTTTTGGAATAGGAGCCCCACTACCGAGCTTGAGATCTGATTGGGTTTGGCTATGATAACAAGATCCAGTCTTTTCCCAGCACGTGTTTGCAATCTCCGACACCGTTTACTACTGTTTACGTGTTACTCATTACTAAAAATCAAGATCGGCAATAGCGGAGATAGTGTAGCGGCCAAAGGCGCTGCGCTGATCCCGTAAGTAGTAGGGCATAATCAGACGAACATGAGGTCTACTAATCTACTCAGGTTCAGCCATGTTCAGGTTACGCATGAACGGCGCCATTGAAAAATGCATGAATGATAAGAATAAGAAATAGGTTGACATCAATAGAAACAAACTACGTAGGCGAAAATATGGGTGAACTTCCGTTTCGGAAAAAATTGTGGAAAAAAATGTGGAACAAACGGCATCTCAAAGCAAATTGTGAGTGTGTGTCACTGCCCCTTACTTGTCCGCTTACGATAAAAAAATAAAAGAATTGGAGCATATTGTGTCAATCAATCAATCTTAGGGATGCGCCACGCGTCCTATTTCGATTCGGAACAGCGGTGGCATGTTGCATTAATTTGGCTGCGCATGGGGTCACTGACGTAATGTACATATCAATTTTGACGAATCTGGTACTAGTAAAATGACCCTGGAGCGGTTAGACTTGCTTGCCCTGGACGGCGTACGATCTAGAATTAGATCCCCGGACCAGGCACACGGAAAGCAGTGTTACTTGTCATCCCACAACGCCTCTGCTTCCCTTACAATGGCGGACCCAATTGTTAGCGCTCGAATACCACAGGGTGCGTGAGCCACAAACAAAGGTTCAAGAGTGAAGTTGATCTTCGCTCTAACAAAAGCGAGGAGGTGAACAACGCCATCGAAGTGTCAACAAATTAGAAAAATCAAATAAAAGAAACCAAATCAAAAACCATTACAAATAGCTGCTTCTTTTCAGATATAAATTAAAGCATCGCCCTCGAAAATGTGCTCGCTGCTTACATACAATAGGGTGTCGGTGTGATGATGCGCCTGTGTAATTGGAGGATGATCTAGGAGCCATCAGATGGTAGCCTATGGAATCAGTATTATTTGTGTGGCTGTCAGATTGATAGCGAGTGCGTGGGGGTCGTGGACAGTAAGGAGCAGCACATGGCCGAGAGGATAGTCGGCTCATTGGACCTAAGCTGAAACTTTGGGGATTTAAGAACGGATCGTACCTTGTGTTGCGGTGCCAATTAGCACTGCCAGATTATCTAGGAAGAGTAGACAAGTGAGAGAACTAATATTCTTCAATAGAGCTGACATTATAGCACAAAAACATTTTGAAAAAAGAAGTTCAAAACCAGGTCACTCCGGATCTCGAAGAAGGGATTGCTCGAATTGGACGGTGATTGAACGCTATAACTCTCCAGCATTAGAGCTGTTAAGTTCGTCAACGACGGGTAATTCTAGAAAAGATCCTCAAAGTCAAGAAGGCGGAACGCATGCCGATGCTTCATGATTGCGGTG